GAGAGAGAGAGAGAGAGAGAGAGAGAGAGAGAGAGAGAGAGAGAGAGCGAGGCACTCAGTTTTGTGTGACTGGATGTATATTTGTGTGTAGTGTATGTTGGTATGGAATTGGCGTCGAGTTCAAGCTCATCAAAGAAAAAGTGTCATAAACATAAAGCACCATACCAACAACATTTCATGACATCTTCGACTGAAAGCTACTTGCATCCAATATCAAATGGGTTTGAGTGTGTGTGTGTGTTTGTCGTGTCGTGTCGGTGAAATGAAGAGACTGGAAAAAGTGATTCTATTTGGAGTGGGAGGCAGGCGAATGCGACGCCATTGGAGGGAAAGAGAGATGGACAGATGGTGTTCTCCGTTGGAGAGAAGCAAAAATAAAGTGCTTGTATGGATTTAAATGAAACGAGATTTTTCCGCTCGAGAGTCAGTCAGAGTAAACAATTTATATTTTGTAATATTCATTGCAATACTGTTCAGCTGCGCTGTCACTCTCTCTCTCTCTCACTCTCTCTCCCTCCCTTTTTGTTTTTTTCTGCTGCCTGGAAGGTACAATAAAATAAACAAGCCATTAAATCGCTACAAGTGCAGCACCAATCGAAAATGATATTCGCGACATCGGAACAAAATAAAACACGCACATCAAACAATAAATGCAATTGCCTTTCGCAATCGCACTCGGCGGCACACCCGTTACTCACGGAACAAGAGAATGAGAGACAGAGAGGGAGAGACGACGACGAACGATATGAGCGCAATACCATCAACTGTACTCACCTTTTGAACTTTGTCACATGCGTTCACACAGTATACACATGGAAGTGTCGTTTAAATGACATAAAAATAAATTTCAATTTTCGCTTTCGTTTACTTGATTTTTGTTTTTTTATTCTTTCTTTCTCTCTCTCTCTCTCTCTCTCTCATCGTTTTCTCCGTTTGGATGGAGTGCTTTCGCAAAGAGTCCAAATGAAATTTCACGAGACTCGTTCGGATATTAAGGAAAACTTACAAACGATTCAATTCAAATGGAAACAATAAAAACAGCAAAAAACGACAAAAACGCAAAAAAGCAGACGAAGAAATGCCGTGCGATTTAAAGAAAAATTCGAGATTACAAGTGAAGGACGCAAAATTACAAAGGCTGAGAAAACGGCTTAGATGTAGGAAATCATTTAGAATGGCAAATAGTAGGAAGCGAGTGGAAAAAAAGAAAAGTTCACAAAAGCATTTATATTAGCTCACTTTGATTCTATTAAATTGGCCTTTTGTTTTTGCTCTAGCCTTTGTCAGGGCCTGCCATTTCGGGTTTATAGCATTATGTGTATATGCTTTCTGTCTTTGTCACTTTGATCATGTTTTGGAGTAGCGCGAACGCTTTTTTTCACCATGTTCCCAATGGCGCGCTCGCTCACACATACACATAAACATATACGCCAAAGCGTACCGTACAACAATACTTTGTGAAAATTTAATTCGGTTTTCATTGTTCGAGAACATTTTTTCTCTCTCTCTTTCTCTCTCTCTCGCAAGCTTTTGAAGTCGGGCTAATCCTTAAACTCAATGCATGCAAAATATGTGCATGAAATGGGCGAAATGAAAGCGGCTGCTCCTCACGGCACTTACACTACATTTTAAGTTGCTCATGAAATGGGAATACCGTATGAACAGAGCACGAATTTTATTATTTTGATCGCGCTGAGCATTGAAATTGTTTTTCCCGAGCGAACGAGACTGGAAACAGCAGAAGAATCTTCAAAAATCAGTGCCTCACAATTTGCAATACACAGAAAATCCCATACACCACCGCATTTTATGTAATTTCCTTCGCATGCACCCGTAATCACACAATCTTTTTTTCCCTTCTATTTCGTACAATTTCCATGAATGCACTTTTGATTCAAAGGAATTTGACAAAAACAAAGACCAGTTCTACTTGCATCTATAGGAAAAAAAAATCCGATTCACATTCTCAGGTAAATTTGAAGTGGTTTTATTTTACGCGATCTCTTCATCTTTTTTTATATGTGCATCTAAATGAAGGCTAGATTCTAAACTTACGACACAATGGAAAAACAACGATTTCAGCGCTCATAAGTTCATGGGGAGACACAATCCAATTTGAAAATTAAATTCGAATGCAGTACATCGCTATAAATTTCGTCGCCGTCTAATGGCAAGAATTGTATGTGTTTTCTTTTCTATTTTACCATCACATACTGCTTCGCTTCGAACAGTAAATTTTTGCACTGCTTGATGACTGCGATTAAATTTGCGTCACTAGCACTACACATCTCTGTCATCACCATTTGTCGAATGCGAGTGTCAAACGCATTGCGAAAATTTCAATCACATTAACTCTCCGTGAATTAATTCGCCAGCAGATTATTATACGTCATCGATAATCAAATCGTTTCGAATTGTCAAATTAAGCGCGAAAAAAATTATTTTTCGGTTCAACAATTGGTGTTGATGTACTCAATTATTGCTGTCATCATCTGTTTCGCAAACTATCGATTTGCCATTTTCATTTCGGTTCCATTTTGGTGCCGTTTCGACATTTATTGCATCAAAATCGTGCTCGGACATTAACGCATTTCATTTTTTTTTCTCTTTTTATCGCTCATTTGTGTCAATCGCATTCCATTCTAATTATTTTCCATTTGATTTACCAATAAATGTCAATAATTTTAGTGTGCGCGTTCGTGCGAATGTCATTGTTGCATGCTAAAAATAGCCAAATAATGGAGCGTTGAAAGTTGAATGGGTGATGACGTTGTCTTATCGATGCCATTTTTCAAAATTGATTTGCGATTTGCTGGTGGTGCGCGACTTTTATGTACACGTCAAAACGACACTTCTATGTTTATATCTTCGGTAATAATTGCAGGAGTTCCCGGCGCTCCATTGTGATCGATTCGGTAAAATCGCTGAATTTGAACATTGCAACATATTCTTTTTTTCTTTCTCTCGGTTTCACTCCCTTGCTCGCATTGGACTCGCCAATCGTGTGATTTTCGTCAATTTTTTTCCTTTTTTTGCTAGCATCGCAACAAACGAAAATGACTGATAATTTATTCGTTTGACGATAATTTATGCTGACACATGAATCGATCGCGTTGATTGTTGCTGGTTGAAGCACTCACTCGACAAACGCGCCGCGTCCGCTCGCGCTACATTAACAAGACAGACACACCGAAGCTCTCACAGCTTTTTTTGTTCTCTGTGTGTCTCCCATTTATGCCTGCGCCCCCACGCGTGATTTGGAGACAGCTTCGCGGAGGGAGACAGCGATTGAGAAATGCAAACATAAAAATAAATTGGATGTCACACGTAGCGCGAAACGACGACGACGTGAAATTGAATCGTTTAAAAATGAGCATCGTAAAATTTATTTGGGCGAAAAACCAATGGAAAAAAATACACTCGAAACGTACACGACATAGCACGGGATTTCGAGTGAGATGAACACTGAAATCGATGGTGTGTTACGGTTTGTTGGCTTTGAAAAGTGTGTGTGCGCCTTCATTACCATCACTTTTACAGTTTCGTCTTCAAAACTGCCGCCTCTGTCTCGGTTTCTGCCCATGACACCATGAAAATTCTCGCACTCCGAAACTATGCAATCCGAAACAATTTGGATTTATCTTTTGTGCTGTCGTTCATTTTGATATCTTGTTCCAGAGCTATGTAGAAAAAAGAAAGAGAGATATTGTCGTATCGAAACGAAGGAACCGACACGGAATGGTATGAAATTATCATAATTTAACCATTGGTAAACGTGGCATAACTCTTCGCCAGCAGCACTTTATTTCCATTTTGAAAACTCCGAACACAATAATTGGACCCATTTCCTACGGAACGGATACTCTTTATTTTGGAAACAAAACCAAGAAAAAAATATAACAAAAAAACTCAGTCCAAACGAATCGTTTTACACTAGATTTTAATTTGGAATTTATTAAATCTGATCGTTATTTTATTCAGATCGGAACGGTTATGATTGTAAAAATACAAAGAAAAAAATCCAGTGAAACAAGGCATCATGTGAATTGTGACTTTTTCTCGATTCGAACATGCACAACACAAAACAGAACATATGGCCAATGTATAGTATGAGCATTGAGCAATAGTGCAGCAACGAGAATCGGAAATGAAGCGCCAAACGGGAAAGAAGTAGTAGGCAAACGACCCTAATGTCAGTGCCAATTACATAATAAATCCATTAAACTTCTCGAACCGAAATGGCATTTTTCTGTCTATGGAGCGGGAGAACGAGCGAACGCGCGAATGGCCGTTTAGATTCAGTGTCCATTATTTTCGGGTCGTTTGAAAGGTAAATCTCTGTCGATTACTGGTGATTTTGCAGGTCATTTTACGTGTTTTTTTTTGCTTCCTCTGCTCTCTGGCCCGTTCGTCCATCGCACGGCGGTTGGAATTTGAGCAATTTTCCTACATTTTTGGTGTGTAAACATAAGGAATGTATGTTATTGACTTATCAACATCCAAAAAAATATATGTATTCGTCAGCAAATAGGAAATGCCTCCTCTGAAAACGCTATTGCGGTTGATTTTGATTCAAATATTTGCTGTACAACAACATCGTGAATTTCGATGGTCATTCGACGCTACCAGTTGTGGCCCGATCAATGTGGGAAATAATTTCGAAAAGCGTGCAATTGCCGTACATTTAACGAAAATGGCTGTGTTAAGCTTTTAAACGATCACTGACAAATCCTTCAAGTAATCATAAATCGAATTTTATTATCATTTAGTATTGGGCCAATGCTACGTGCCTCCGTACATAACCACAACGGCTCGACGGTTTTACATGCGAACAGTGCAACGAAATGAAAATGAAATACAGAAATATATAGACAGTAGACACACATAGAACAAACTAGTATTCTCGATAAAAGGGCAAAAATGCCGAATAATGCTGAAATATAAGACCTCAAGTAAATAAAATGGCAAGAAAAATGAAAGTTATGCTTACACTCAATCCACATCACATCGTTTCTCGATTGGATGTAGTCCGTTTCTAATTGTTGGCACAGCGTTCTGGGATTTCGTTCGAGTCAGCTTTATTCTTTTTTACTTTTGTTTTATCGCTTTCTTCGGCAAACAATTGTCCGTTTTTGGCTCGTGAACAATTTCGCAAATGTCTCACACACTTCCACGTGATTTTTATGTAATGGGTTATTCGAGTTCACAGTTAGTTTTTTGTTTTATTCTCTTCTTCCCTTTTATTTTTCAAGTTTATGCACAGTTTGAATTGTCGATTCTCAAATGTACTTCAGATGTGATAGAAATAAACAGAATCTCAGTTCTACGTCGAGCATTTGCAAACACTGTCAGGCATAATATTATTCGATTTAGTCAAAATTGCTTATATTTATTAAATGGTTCGATCGAAATATATTTGAAATGGTTGGTTTTTCTGTGTGTTGTTGAATAAATTTTCGGTTATGCTGCGGTATTCACATAAATGCTACAACTCATCGTCAAGTGCTTATTGTGTTGAGCATCCCACCAATGGATTTATCTTAATGTGATCGATTTTGGGTTTCGGTTTTTTCGGCGAAAATGGAAATCGAGTGCATGCGAGTTGACAACACACAAACAAACAAACGAAAAAAAAGATCAATAACAACAACGACAACAAAATTGCGCTAACCGAAGGGAACAATGTAGAAGTTGAAAAATGGCCCGAATTTACTTATGGAATGTAGCGCAATTCTGGAATAAGTATAAAATATACATTTGTGCAAAGTGAACGCGTGCACACGTTATTGGGATTAATCGCAATAAATTTTTATTTCAAATGGCAGCCACTACGTAGTTCGTCCGTATCGTTTGCTCTCGCATTCTTATTTATTTATGTTTATTAGTTCAATATGAATATTCGGATGGTCTTTCTGGATGCGTAGCGATAAATGTAGGTCTGGTCGTTTTTCCGCTTCTTTTTCTCCGTCCTCGTCTTTTACTTCTCTGAATTCTCTGCAACACGTTCGCGTCTTGTTCTATCGCTTTACGACTCGATTGCTATTGTTTTCGGTTTCCGATCGGGAAATTTACTTCATTCGATTTGGACTCTCTAATTAAATCGGCTTTTCAAGCACTACTAATTCGCTTTATGCCTTGTTTGAAGTCTCTTTTTTTATTCTCTTCGTTCCACTCGATTGTTTCTGCACGAAACCAATTTATAATGGCAACCGAAGGAAAAAGTCAAACAATCTATGCTGCCAGGCTTAAATCACTTGGGTCGAATTTAAAGCATGTATCAATCCGAGTTCGTACACGCTTATGATATTGACTTGTTTCGGGGTCTGAAAATTGGCTGAAGGCTTTTCGTCGAAATATGAATCCAGATGTGCCGAACTCTCTTTTTCTCCCGACCTTCCGTCGTGTACAAACAATTTGATTTAAAATCGAACAATGGTTTAGTCTTTAGGACTGATTTGGGTATACTATTCGCTGTGTGTGAATGTTGTGGAAATTCTTTCCGTATGGAATGGTTTCGAAGATTTGTCAATGTTAGTGAGAGAGAGCCAAAGAACAAAAGCGGCTGCGGAACCGAGTGCGTTCGAATGCTTTGATAGTAGTTTTACCGAAATTTTTATTGCCTGCCGAACAATTTTTACGTTTTCTGTTGGTGTTTTTCGTTTGTTTTCCGCATTAACCGTTAACGTCTATTGTGAAATGTACAATAATATATATCTTTATCTCTTTTTATTCGCTTAATATGCTTGCTCGACAGTGGAATGTGAGCGCGCCTCGAATATATCTCTTCGCCTTTCGTATTTTTTTCGATTTGGTATGTATTGAATGTGTCTGTGTGTATTTTTGCAGTTAATAAAATTGCTACACATATATTAAGTTAATAATTGACATAAATATTGTGTGTGTGTGTGTGTTTGTATGTAAGTAGAGGAGAGAGAATATGTTGTTATAGTTATTTTTGTTCGCCCTGGCAAAATTGTGTGTGTTCGATACCATTCAGGCGTTTCGGTGTGCATACATCGATTATTTTGGATGCCGTTTGCAGCAGCGGTTAAATAAATTTATGGTTATGTGTTTTTATTGATAATGATGCAAAATTGTGGAGAATATTTTTCTCGTTTCGTATTCTTCTTCGTCTTTTGCCCACCGAATGCCTGAGCCACTCTCTCTGTGTCTCTTCAAATGATTTATACGGTTAATACAAATGGAAACAGTTAACTCTCTCGCTCGTCGCGTTCAGGTTGTCGATTATAAATTTTACGTTATGTTTCAATTAGTATTCGATTGGATTTGATTTATTTTAACATATGATTTAGTTGCACTTTAAATGGTTATGGCATTATAAGTCAATTATAATTTTCTTGTGATTTCGATTTTAATATTTCAAAATCCATTTTCTATACGTTTTACGTCCAATTTTCGCACCAAACTGTTTTTTTATTAAATTTCGTTAAAAATGAATTTAAATTGAAAATGCACGAGTATTTTAGTCCAATCAGAATCGGGGTTAAAGTTGCAAAGTTTTGCTTCGATTCGAAGCACCAACTAAACTAATTTAGAAATCAAGTTTTAAATTAAATTCTTTTCGAAGAGAAATTAAAATGATTTTTTTTTTGTCTGACACAAAAAATGTTTTGATGGATTTTTTTTTTTTTGTTCAATTCGGATGATTTTCGGCCGTTCTCAATTTCTGATGATTCTTGTTCACTCACTCAATTGAACACAGCAAAATTCAATTTTTCGCGCACACACAACAAAATGATGTCTACTCTTTTCCACGTGTCGCGCCCAACTGTAAATTTCGTAAAAATTTTACAGTTGATGCTGGTGTTGGAGATGCTAAAGCATTGCTCACACCATATCTCCAACGCACTACTACACACGCAAATCCACATCCCAACCATGGAAAATGGATACGTGGATTTCCAACATCCACTCCGTGCCGAAAGCTCGTACGTTGTTCTTTCGACATTCAAGTGTGGGTGTGTGCGTGCGTTGCAGTGGTGTTGGTGACAGGAAAGTATTGCTACATCTACCATTACATACACAATACTGCGCTTGTGGTGTGAAGCACAGCATCTCCACGTTCGTCGGTATCGGCAATTCACATAACATTCGTTCAAGCAAATTTATTTCTCTTTGCTGTTGTGATTACTTAATTTTTCTTGAAAACCGAATAGTTTTTCGAATTCTTTCGATGAATTAAAAATATTGTAAATTTTTGAAAAAGTCCAGAAACTGGCACAAACGAATCCAACCGATCAATAATGGACCATAGAATAAAAGGCGCGAGATTTCTTTTCGTTCCACATCGAGATTTAGTTGATGTAGAGCTTTCGCAATGGAAATGTGAACGGAAGAGTGGCAACGTTTGCGTGTGCGCATCATCGATGAATCTGATGAGAGAGCAAGAATAGTCTGTATCCTTTGTAGCGTTGCGTTCATCTGTGTATCACGCGCGCAAAAGACAATTCTACCCCAACAAATCGTTAAACAAATGTCACAATCTCGACGATTACATCGGTATGGGTGGTTTTGTTTGAGTGTAGTTAATCATTCGTTGAGCTTTTTTATCACATCTCACGGACTGGAAAGTGGTGTCGTGTGTATTTGGGGCGATTGGTTGAGTGTGCCTATGGATTTTGTGCTACACGCATCAGTGTCAATGCATCGATGTTCGTGCTTATCATGCGACGACTCACGCGAAAAGTCGATACGATATACATTCGGAGCGAGTATTGCTCACTCAAGGAAGGGGAAATTCTGTTATACAAAACATTGTCCGATTCAAGTGAAGAAATTATACCACATTCATTTGGATTATTCGTTCACTGAACTGTTGTTCGTGTGGTGCATGGGAATGAAAACGAAAAAAACACACAAACAACGTGAAGCTGATGGATTCGCAATCGCACACTGCATATGAGTGTAGATACATCGACGAGCACATTCACCCGTCGATGATGTATGTTACGGCAATCGATGCTTTCAATCACAAGTCAAATCACAAGCTCAGTGAACAATTTCTAAGTAAACTTTTACACTGATTCTTGTTAGTTGCCTCAATTTGCGCGGCATTTTTCGCTGATTTGTGTATTTTCGCAAAATTTTTCATGTGGCTTTTCACATCGGAATTGTTTGATTTCCAAGAATTCAAACAATGTAAATGGACTTATCTTTACGAAGGGTTTCTCCCTCCATCTCTGTCCGTATCTCTATCTTACAAAGCGTTAATTCAACACTATCACTTACTAATTAGATTTCCTTTGACATAATTATATCAAGAATGTTTTTCTGGTGATATGCGCAAAATGAAATTGAAAACATATATTCGGAGTTGAGTGTTGTCAAGCGGCAAATCTGTGTGTTTGTTGCAACCATAGAGAATAACGTCTATGCTCAAATTGTGTGTACTTCGATATAGTGGTTGTACTGAAATTTTCTCGGAAATCATTCAAGCTATTTGACTTTTGGGCATTTTCAATACGGAAAGTGAATTTTGCTAGTCTTGAGAATCTGAAAAAGGCTAACTCTTAATTTGAGAAGAAAAAGCTTTGGTTTTTAAGCTGAATTGTTTGAAACTTATCAAATTTTGAAAGTCAAGTGTAATTGAAAGGTTCAAAAAGATGTGCATTAAAATAGCTGACAACTTCTGAATGAATTTGAAACTGATCTTACTGCGTTTGGCGGCGTTTCAAAGGCTTCTCTTCTTCTAGGGAAATTATTAAAAAGAGAAAGAGCCTTTGGTTATTTGGGCATTTCATCTACAATTTCCTTCATTGTAAATGTATTTTTAAAATATTGCATAAAATGCCAAAAACAAAGAATGTAATTAGATCTTTTTCGTAACCTAAGCTGGAACCAAACCGATTACGTCTGATCTTTACTGTGGACCTTTCAACTTCAACCAATTGAATTTTTGTTCTGCCATTGCTGAAACCATATATCTCATCTAATTCACATATATCAGCCTACACGCATTCGCCTATTAATTTTATCAAGGTGTAATTTTATTAAAGACTCGCTGCTTTGTATGTACCGCATTCCATCATGTGCTTTTTATTTCCTTTTCTCCCCATGTTCATCTGTTTTTTTTTCCTCTCATGTATCAACTCCGCACACTCCCACACGCACTAACACACATACACAGGCAACAAGAGTGAGCAATGAAGTGACACACGTGCGTGAATAATTCTAAAGATGCGCCTAATATTTGCCAATAAGAGATTTATGTGTGGTACCCATCAGATATATATATCTACATGTTTTGGCCATCTCAGATATCGATGCGGTGCGGTGCGCGGTCGGATTCTATTGATTGTTAGTCCACTGTCAGGTACTTGACAACATATAGGCGCTTGTTTGTCTCACTCGACCTCTCAAACCATTAGATTTATACCTCACCAACCAGGTCGTGTGAATAAGTAACAACGGGAAGGCGAATGAAACAGTGAAGTTAAAACTTGTTGTTCGTTACTCTTATTACCTTCGATTGTATTGCGCGCTGAATATTACAAGTCGATTTGTATTTGAGGCTAAACGAACCAATTAGCCAGTCTACTTTTGTTTACGTTTCTGCACACACGGATACATATCACTATATGGTACGATGTGAAAATGAGATTGAAATCATTGAATAAACATGGCGAAGTCATCAAATGGCAGATAAAAACAGAACGATAGTATTGGCATCATCGCTATTTAAGAAGGCGATACACACACTCCTCCGAAGTTTTTTCCCCTTAACTTCGGCTTCGATAAAATATGGGCATTCGAAATCGAAAGTTGAAATGAAGCCAAACTGATGAGAGGGAACTAGAAACAAGTGCCCAGAACACAACCAAATGATATAAAATACCAAAACAATCAAGAAAATCGTCGGTTGAAGCTCTCTTCGTTCGTCTGTTTGATCGTATTCAGTTGGCAAACAAAAGAACGCATCAACTGGCAATCGAGAAAATAATATCTGCCATCAATTGACGTGACACATTCAACTTTGCACATATATAAAATGAGCACTATATATATATATATAACGACGCCTCGGTCGAAGCATCTGCGAGAGTGATTTTACTTATGCCAAAGAAAATGGGTTGCTTTTTTTCGCTTCATTACGGAAAATACGCGTGAAAGAAAACGAGTCGAAACAAGAGACAATTCGCCAGAATCATTGTAGTTGTATTTCCCAAGGTAGTAGGTAAATATGCGCATCACACTAAACGAATCCAATTGATGTGTGAGCTCAAATTTATGTATCGATTTCATTTTATTTGCACCCAAATTTCACTGTCGATCTTTGCACTTACTTCGCCCATGTGCGAATAGCAAGTTAGGTACAGATACCATCGCATTTATTATTTTCCACGTGAAACAAAAATCATTAAGTCGTTGTTTGTATTTAATTGACACAGGTAGAAATAACGTGAGCTGAACTCAAATCATTTATTGATTACTTTACTTGGCATTGTCACGATCCATTTGACCTTCTTGAAAACAGTCACCTAATCAACTTTTTGGAGACAAAACGGCAATCACAGACCGCTTCTTTTATTCATCTCTATCTCTATGTGGAAAATGCTCCATCGATCCATAATTTCAAGATGATGACATGTTTTGACGAAATTGCGGCAAACTCGTGAACTATCAAAATTTCAATACAAAATAATACGGCGTTCGTAGCGCCACTAGTACTTAAAATTTATTTTGTACTGAGATGTCGTCAGCTTGCGTAGTTTTAATTCAGCTCGACATTTTGAAAGGGCAAAATTAATGAGAGAAGGCAAATGTTAGACCCTAACGCCATCTATTGATTTTTGTAGAATTCATTAGGGTTTAGACTTAACGGTAGACTTGACATGAAGCACAGTACTTTACTGTTACTTAACTTACATTAAAGCTACTTAAACTAAATTAATAGCAAAACGTCAAACCAAATGGTAGTTGTACTCGCTGTTGACGTCTATTATATTTGCCTTGTGATTAATGATATTATACCGCTTTTTCAAAACGAAAAACGGCAGGAATTATACTTATTTTATTCTTGTGACAGGACTAGTCAACGCGATGATATTTTTTCTTAAATGAACAAAATATTTTGTAAATGCAGGTAAATCCAAGAAAAATTGATTGAAATACAGCATTTCACCATTTTCCGCTTCAAATCTGTTCTGCACAGTCAAAAATAAATGTACATATTTAGGCGGAATTTCGACTGGTAGAAGCGTCTAGTTCTATATTTTGCCTAGCAAATGGAGTTTCAGACGAAATACCGACTAGATTATAAGCGGAATTTTGCCTGTGGCTCAAATTACTAGCAGAAATATCGGCTAAATGAGTCTTTAGCTGAAAAAAAGCCCAGATGTAGACTTTTATTTTTTGCTGTGTGCGCATGCTTTCGATTAAATAAACCGAGTTACAAGTGGCATTTCCGCGATGTTTATTTTCATTTGGATAATCTAGAGAATTGAATGCGTTGCACAGATATTTCGCAACGAAAATCTTCAAAATCATTGAACAACACAAAAATACGTTTATCTCCAAAATGCGACAAATGATTTTGTTCAAATCATTAATGTGTCATGGAATATTTGCTAAGCATTTGAAAAATGTCGAATAGCAACGCATTTGGAAAATTCAAATATTTGCGTAAATCTTCAGAAGAATAGAGGAAGAAGACGCTTTGCGTGAAGTGAATTTAAATAAAAAGATGATTGTAACGTCTTGTTTCGTGTGCTGTGCGCTCATCTCTTGAATTCGTCGCAAATTATATATATATGGATCGCAACAA